ATTTTATATTTTTTTTGTAACTCTAGAAAATTTATATTCAACCTAGCATGCATCATTTTTATTTTTTTATATTTTGTATGAATCTTTTCAGAAACATCAATTAACTCTTCACAGGTTAAGTCACATACCACTTCTTGCGCTGAATGATCAAGCTTATCGGCCATCAAGCACAGATTTGTGACTTCTTCCTCTAGATTTATTTCTGAAGAGTCTGAAGGAAGTCTGCTCAAAATACTCTCTACAATCTCTTCTTGCCCTTCCTCACATTTATTTTCTCTTCGACCTTGTCTTTACTATGATTGGCTTTAAGATTTGTGCATTCAAATTTAACATGTCCAAGCTTCATGCATTCATAGCAAATCACATCGTTAGAAGTCTTAACATTTTTGTGGTAACCTTTATTCCACTGTTGGCATCTCCTTTGCTTCCTCTTTAGAAAATTCTTAAATTCTCTAGTCATTAAGGTAATGTAATCTTCATCCTCAGGTTGAGATTGATTACTCTCCAAGTCATCTACTTTATACTATATTTTTTCCTTTTGCTTATCATTTGCATTAATCTATCTTTGAGTCATTTCTTGCTCATAAGTAATTAGTGATTTATGAAGATTGTCAATAGAATAAATAGTTAAATCTTTAGACTCTATAATATTAGTTATTTTTGCATCATAAGCAGTAGGCAAACAATGAAGTATTTTATTCATTTTCTCAGCATTCATGATTTCCCTAACAAAATCATGCAACGAATAACTACTATTTGAGTGAAATGTCTATACATGTCAGTGATTGATCCATTTAGTTTCATGCAAAATATTTCATAATCATGCAATAAAATATTCAATCTATATTGTTTCACTTTGTTAGTCCCTTCATATGTGATACAAAGTCTATCCCAAATTTCTTTTCTATTTTTACAGTTAGAAATACACATGTAGTCTTAAGATTTAAGTGCATAAAAAAAACTATTCAAACATTTTGTGTTTAACTGAGCTAAGTTTCATTCTTATATAATTTAGTCAGTAAATGTTATTTCAATTCTAATGCCATCTATAATTCTAGTTGGCCTAGTGTATCCTTCTTGTACTAAAATTCACATGCAATAGTCAAGCGATTGAAGAAACATAAACATACATGTTTTCCAAAAATTGAAAGGGATGTTGTCAAATAATGGAGGTCTGATCAAATACCCTTCAAGTGTGTTACAATTTCCAAAGTAGCCATGATCATTTTCAAAAGTTATCTAAACCTTAATTTTTAAAACAAAGCTTTGATACAACTTGAAAGTTTGTATAAGTTGTTAAATCTATAGCAATTATCTTAATGCTAACCAAGAGAGGGGTGAATTAGTTATTTTAAAAATTTCTTCGAATTTTTTTGAGAAAACTATTTAATAATTTTACACAATTTGATTTCTCAAAATTTACTTTTCAACAAAAGAAATAAAACTTTTGAAAATAAAAATGTTGAAAAGTAAAAAGAACATAGTAATTTATAGTGATTGGTCCAACAAGACCTACATCCACTCCCTAAAGACTCTCTCTTCAAGTATTGCACTATTACCAAAATAACTCTCCTTTTTCTCCTATAGTAAGACAAATAAGCCTTTATAATTACCCTATCTTCCACCAATCCCTAGTGCGGCAGAGTACAATCATCCTTTCACACACTTCAAGTGTCGAAAGAGTATCATTGTCCTTTCACACCTTCCAAGTGTTTGGAGAGTATCATCTTTCTTTCACACCCTCCAAATGTCGATAGAGTACCATCATCCTTTCATACCCAACAAGTGTCGATAGAGTATCGCCATCCTTTCACACCCTCTAACTATCAACAAAGTATTATCATTCTTTCACACCCTCTAGGCATCAGTAGAGAACCAGATCTTCTATTGTGCAACTTGAAAGAAGTAAGGAAGATAATTGACATATAAATAAAGAGATTCTTATCTTTGAGTAACCTTATGAATCCTTTACACTCTCCACTTGCAGGAACTCTCTCTCAAATACTCTCCCAAATCACCATTTCACTTGCTCTCAAAGAAATCATGAAGATAAAATTCATCCAAAATAGTTTATAAGGATTTTATATAGGAAAGGCATAAAAAACTGTCTAGAAACTAAAAATTTCTATTTTGACAGTCTAAGATCGTACAGTATGATTTACGATCGTATGTACAAACAGTTCAATGTTTGCTTATACGATTCTATATAAAAAAATTTCATACATGCACATTGTATAGTATGAACCATATATTAAATAGTATGATTAGTTTTAATCAAACCATGTTTTGTCCGATATGAAAATAGACTCAATCATTTCATACTCTCAAAGCCGTCTGTATGATTCTATGATCATACAATATGAATAGTTCAAAAAATTTACCTGCATAAGGATGAGAAGATACACCACAATTTTATACTATGGATGTCATATATGCAAACCTAAGATTGTATAGTATGAACAATTAAGAAAATTTTAGTTGTTCGTTGGGACAAAAAGATACATAAACTTTTCATACTCTGGATGTCGTCTGTACGAACATATGATCATACAGTTCGAACACTTTAGGAAAATTTTGATCCTTATCAGGACAAACTTATATGTATATATTTCGTACTCTAGATGTCTTCTGTACGAAGTTAACTTTGTATAGTACGAACAAGACTTAGAGAAAATAATTTACCTTCTATGGTTTGATCAACTACTTTCAGGAAGAATAATCTGGATAAATCATACCGTACGATCAAAAAATCATACATTACAATTAGTTTTAAAAAATTACAAATTTTTACACTCCCCTAGTGTGTGTGTGTGTACGGTTACCGAATTATAATCACATTGTCTCATACTCAATAAAAGTGTAAAATATGAACTCCATTTATAATAAATCCTAATCTAATTGGTCTTGATTTCTTTAACAGTCTAGAATATGATTTTCTCAAAATGTTAGTACACACAACAATAAAAGTAATATATCAAATATATGTTAGGGGAAATAATAATCAATACATTAATAATTTGGAATCATAAAAAATACACATGAAATGAAAGTATAGTTATGAAAACTAAGTTGTAACACCAACTACCTTCAATGCTATATTTAGTGGTCCATTACTAATTACTTTCAAAGCTGTGGCATACACATTCCATCTCACTGTTAAATTTTTAGCCACAGGGAAAGAAATTGTTAAAAAAGGTGACCTAGACCAATCATACACCTGCTACCTATGAGCATTCGATCAAGTTGACTCCCTAATAAATCCTCTAACTAAATATAGAGATGGGTCCAAACCTCAATACAACCAACACCATCAAATAAATGCCTATGTTATAAAGCGGATCAAATAGATTTCTTAGAATTAGTACCACATTCAGTAGATAGCATAGAGATGAGTTGATACAAACTCTTCATAAGAACCTCAAAGTTTTTGCATGGATAGCTACAGACATGCCATACATTAATGAAGAAATCATATGTACCACCAACTAAACATGCATAGATACTCTCACCCCATCAAATAGAAGAACATAACAACTACAACCTCACTGTTGAGCTCATCCGAGAAGAAGTGAAAAATATAATCGCTGCCAACTTTTCAATGAAGTCTAATATCCGGATTAGATTTTTAACATGGTAATGGTTTAGAAATCAACACACAAATGAATAATGTACATGAATTTCACCAATCTACGTTTAGGGTTCCCCATGGATGGCTATCCACTTTCAAAGATGGTGCCTAAGTTTACTCCATGGTGGGTTATCCGGACAAAGTTTTTTGGATGCCTTCTTCTCCTACAATTTGATTAAGATGCACCCAGGAGATTGAGAAAAAAATGAATTCATCATAGTGGAAGATCTGTACCATTATATAGAAGCCTTTTAGACTAAAAAATGTTGGAGAAATATATTAAAGAATGATGGACAATGCCTTCAAAGAGTAGAAGGAAAGAAATGTTAAAGTTTGTGTGTAGGACCTTCCAGTAAAGAGTTGATCTCTGACTAGCTTATCAAGGATCAATAAGAAACATTTCTCACTCTAAAGAATTACAACAAGAGGCTGAATCCTCTAAAGCGCAACTTTAAAGAAAGAATAAGAAAATTTTTAGTGTTTCTTCTTACTCCTAACATAATCAAAATTAATCCAAATAAGTTATAAGCTATATTTAATATGAAGACACCCAAAATTGTCATGAAAGTTCAATGACTAACTAAGTGGATTAACATACTTAACTGTTTTATCTCTTGGCTGAGAGAGAGATGCAGCCTCTTCTTCAAAAATCATCAAAGTTCAATGAAAACATGTTGTTATATCTCAAAGTTTATGAAAATGCTATCAGTTATGTGCTCGTCAGAGGAGAAGGGAAGAAGTAATAGCTATCGACTATGTGAGTCATACATTCTAGGGTGTGGAGCAAAGGTATTATGGAAAAGCTCGTATGGGCACTTGCCAACTCATGTACAAGATTAAAACCGTACTTCTAGACCCATTCTATTTAAGTAGTAGTTGATTATCCCCTTTAGCAAATTCTAATTAAGCTCGGCCACTTAGGCTGATTACTCAAATGATTGGTAGAACTCAATGAATTCACTATCAACTACATTTAAAGGATAACTATCAAATCTCGGGCACTCATTGAATTCCTTATATAATAAATGACCAAGGTATGAGCTTAGAAATGGCAACACAACCTTGTTTGATGTTGTATGTATATGGTGCCTTAGGCGAGGAAGGAATTAGTGTAAGCAGTATTCTTAGAAGCTCAACAAAAGTCATCATTACTCGAGCCCCAAATTTTGAATTCAAAGTCACAAATAACCAAGATGAGTACGAAGCTTTAATTTCAAGCTTGTGATTTGTCTTTAAACTAGGCAACACTCACCTAGAATTATACTCAGACTTGTAACTCATGGTAAACCAGATCAAATTTATTAAAACTGGAGAAATGGTCATAACCACAAAAGAGTAAATATCATCATTTTATTGATTGGTGCTTACGTAATATGAAGATATATCTATAAATTCAAAATAAAGGGTACATCATAATGCTGGAGAAATGGTTTTAGCCATAAATATATTATTATTCTGATTCATGCAGATCATTTGAAGTGATTCTTATTCATAAGCTCCTTGATCTTCACTCTTTTAACTTCAAGGCTAGTATTAAAACCACGAACTTAGCTTTCTCAATAGAAATATGCCTTGCAATATTTTGTGCATAACGTGAAAATAAATCTTCTATAATATCATCTCCAAAATGAGATATAAGAAGGGGCTCTAACACTGCTCTTATGTATTTAGCCACATTTTGTCCACTTAAAGTACTATTTATGAAAAAATTATCTGTTGAATCATCAAAGGGATCCCAATTTGACTCAAAAATTTGTGCTTGATCAACATGAAATGACCCTTCCATCTCAATAACTGATTTCACTTCCTCCATCAATGGTGCATATATTGGTAGATTAAAGGTATTTAATTTAGCCTCTTCCACAAGTCCCTGCATATAATACAATAGATTAGATGTAATTACAAAAGTATGACCTAGATGCAGTTATTGAAACTACACATAATGGAGCTAGCAATGATTGAAGTAAAATGTATTTATTTGATTGCAAAATAAAATTTATCAAGAGTCCTTGTGATTTTGTTTTAGTGGAGATGCTTACAAATGATAATTTTAAATGATGAATAGTAACTTTAAATGACATAATATGTATGAATCTCATTGAAAAAGTAACACAATAGGAGCCTTTAGTATTTAATGGATTTATGATTAGTAAAATATAGATTAATTGCATGACATGTGATTTAATTTGATATGAAACTAATAATTATTCATCTATATTCTTAAGAAAATCCAATGATACTTAGTATAATAAGGTTAAGTTGCTTTGATCAAATATATTAATTTATTGAGGTATAGATGATCACATCTAAATGTGTGTGTGAGAGAGAGATAGAGAAACACCTGTAGTGGTGCATTGTGTGGTAAGAGAATATCATTAAAAAAAACCACGAATACATAATAATAATAACATGAATTCAAATTATGGCAGCTAAGCTCAATGATGCAGTACAAAACTATATGTATCTAAAGATATTTATTAAAATTCAGTAATTATTCTAAGTTTAAGATAGTTTAATACAAAAGAAAATTTTCTCTTTCAACAATTCCAACATGCAAAATAAAATAAAAATAAGTGCTATCAATCAATCACATAATATAATTAATGTTAAAAAAGAAAATACCTCAGAGATCATAGAATTTAGTGCATCAGCAAGAAGACTCCAAAGATTAAAGAGGTCTCCAATAGCTGGAGAATTTTTTCTTCCCAAAAAAGATAATACCATCTTTCCACCAAAAATAAGCTCTTTAGAACGAGATCTAAGGAATTCTGAGAAATCCTTCTTAAATTGATTTAAATACAAATGGTAAACGATAGAAGAGGATGCATCTGCTATATATATGTTTCCTTTATTCAATTGAGCACAATTTTTCTCATCAAGCCCTTTTGGTACCTACATTTAATTAAAAATTAAATAGAGCATAATGAGTAATAGAAACTTTCTAATATCACTATATATATAATTAGAAAAATAGATTATGTACACAACTATATGCTAACCTGAGATAGCCACATCAAGCTATAAGAAGAGTGAAAAAAGTGAACAGTCTTTGTAGGAAAAAGTCTCCCATAAAATGAACCAGGCAAGCCAACAGCATAAAGATTCACATAATCTGCTCCCTTGTTTTCTCTTAATTGCTTCTCATAGAGCATCAGAAGCTGAAAAATACTGTTGAAGTCATTGCTTGGGAGATCATTGAAGAAATATTGGATCTCTGGTTGTTTGTGGTTGTACTGACAATAATGCTTTTCTATAGCATTAGAGATATGTGAAAGAACAAGTAATGTGTTGGGGCCTGAGGAGCAACCTAAATCAGCCACTACAAAGTTGTTTGTGTGTATTGTGTTGCATATGTCACTTATTGCTTCTTCCACCATTGGTTTTGTCTTCAGGATGGCCTTTTCCTACATATTTGAATGGAATTTAATTATGTTATTAACTTATACATTTTTAAGCAAAGTGGCCATCATTAAAATAAAAAAACAATAAATAATGTGACAAAAAAAAAACTAAATCAAAACAAGAAAAATGTTGATGTTAGCTAAGGGATGTTTGTGATCACTTTTGATTTTTATTTTGTTTATGTTTTGATTTGGAATAAAGCATGTTTAATATTTAAAAATTTATTACTTTTTTTTTTATGTGTGGAGTTGGTGATGGATGCGGATGGTGGTTGAAGATAGTGGGTGACATTTAAAAGTGACGTCAAGTGGCAAGCGGTGATTGTCAACGGCCGATGGTGAGGACTGCCAGTGGTGGCTAGTAATAACGGGCAACAACGATGGGGAGAAACTAATTATGACAGTCATTTTTTAAAACACTCAAAGCATTTAAAAAATATTTTGAGTATTTATGAAAATAACTTGATTTGCGATTAAAAAATACCAAACAAACATATTTTTAGAAATAAACGTAAAAAATAAAAAATAAAAAAACTCAACCAAATGAGTTCTAATTTTTTGTTTAATAATGAGGTCAAAACATATGAACCATTTTTTATATTTATTGCTTGGAGCGAATAATTCGCTGCATATTGAGTTCTAAATTTTTTTTGGTATTCTACTTAAACTAATTAATAGATTTTTATTAGTAAAAGAAATGCACAAAATCAAAATATTTTTAAATGAACATGAAATTATTATCTAGAAGGTTCCAGCCATTTTACGTCCCAACTATCTTTAAGCAAAATTATGATCTATTTGGAATGACAATAGTTTTTTATAATGATAGTTGTAAAATTATGATGGGGAAAATAATTTTGGGGGATTTACATACATATAACTATATACTACTCTATTTACATATCTAACAATTAAAACTTTAATATCACATACATACCACCTATTGTTTACTTTCATATCAAACTATTGTTTACTTTCATATCAAATACAGGTGGTAGGAATGAAATATATGGGTCGTAGGAATAAATATGGGTGACATATTTGTTATTAAAATAATATAAGGTGGTATATATGTAATATTAAAGTTTTAGATGTTAGATATGTAAATAGAATAGTATATTATAAAAAGATGCTTCTTATAAGTTGTCCCAAATAACAACTTGATAAAAAAAATGATAAATTTCTATCCTTTAGAAAAAAAATAACCCGCGCATCACACCACTGTTATCTTCATAAAAAAATTATTAGATTTGCATTCTATTTGGCTCTTGTATCAAGGATTTGTACCTTTTAGTAATTGATCTTCTGCTTGATTTATAAATTATACGTAAAAATTTCTATTTTTCATAAATTAAAAATGAAATAAAAAAAATAAAAAATAAACCCCTCCCTTAGCTCATCTTCATGAGAAATTATTTTGTGCAGACGTCAAACGCAGTTCACCATCCAAAGACCAACCAGAATGTGTCACGTCAGCAATACCGAGTGTTGTACTGAGCGGGTGATGATGTGGCACTTTTTGGTTGGTCTGTATACGGTGTTCGGTGACCACACAGAATAATTTGTCCATCTTCATGCTACAAAAGACTTGTGGGAAATGTTGCATGCCAACTATAAGATCTGTGATTGAAAGGGAGACTGTATTAATCAATGAAGTAGCAGAAAATAATTAATGAAGTAGAAGTCTTACTTGAAGCTTGGAGTTATTAGCATAGCTATTCCCTCCAACACCTCCTATCATGTGAAGAATTTTCTCTACCTTCATTCCTTAAAACTGTTGCAAACAACTCTACTCTCTTTTAATTAGTTTCTCTCACACTATGGAAATTTGTACTCAATTTATAGGACCTCCTCAACGGTACGACATATATAATATGGTGCTGTTAAATGTCAATAGACGATATAGTTTAATATGTTCACACAGCACATGTTCATGCAATATATGGTGATGTAATATGGTGATGCTATAGTTCAATTATTTATGTTCAGCATATATTTTATGCATCATGTGAATCATACCTGACATGAAATATATATTTTGATATGTTGCCTTGATCCAGCACAAATCTCGAGGTATATATTAAGTAACAATTTCTAAAATTAAATACGGGATCATCTGAGCGCCAATTTCAACAAACTCAAGTCAAAGTAAACATCTCAGAAATAATAATCCAGCAACACCAAAATCAGTCATATCAGAACCCAAATGGGCTCAAATCAAGAGATTAAAGCATATTGGCAAGCTTTAGAGTATTGATTAGATGTGCAAATGATATCCTAATATAGCATGCTTATAGTCTAATCGAGCGGCTCGACTAGACGAATCCAACACGAGTTCAAGATCACTTAATGTTGACATCACTAAAGCACTTAAATGTTGAACAAATGATCCATGATCAAGAAAATCCGTATGGGTTGTCTAATAGACCACTCCGAATTTATCTTGGATCTTTTTCATATTTACATGGCATATCACTCTTAAGATCTATAAATAGACCCCCTCGTCCCACATGAAAGAAGGCTTAAAACTAAGCTAGAGGCTCAAGAGAGCTAGCCTGAGGCTTGAAGCATCCCGGAGCTCCAACCCAGCACCACCTCCAGTGAAATCTTGCCACCAAGCAGCCCCTGCTGCACCTCTAATTCACCGTTGTCATTGGACCTCGGTCCGACAACCATCGTCGAGCCTTCATCAGACCACCATCATCCGTCAAATACAATCCCTACGACCACTATCGTCTATCCACTATAGTCTGTCCAACCACAGTTGCACGTCGACTAAGGTCCCTCGAACCTCTAACCTATGTCGCCTGTTGATTACGATCCCTCCAAACTTGATCGCCTGCCTACTATAGCCCTCCTAACCATGGTATCCCACGGACTATAGTCACTCTGACCTCAGTCTCCCTCCGATTACGATTCCTCCAACCTATGTCTCCCGCCAACTATGAATCCTCCGACCTCTATATCCCTTCGACTACAGTCACTCAAACCACCGTCGCTTGCTAACTACAACCCCTCTAACCATCGTTGTCCATCGACTACAGTCTCTCAGACCTTCATCACCCAACTATGGTCTTACTGACCAAATGAACAAGCTAACATTTTTTAGAGCAACTCTCATATCATTGGATTCTTCCAACTCCCATCATATATTGTTTTTTATATTAAGTATATTTGTTACATTGAGCCAAGGCCTTCCGCCAATGAAGGGTATTATTTGTAATAGACTACAAACACTAGTTGAATCATTTTAACTAAGCTAAGCCCCATGGTTTTTCATCTTTTCAAGATATTTCACATAAAAATCTTGGTGTCACTTATGGCTCTTGCACCCCTCTCCTATTTGCATGTATGTTGTATCTTCATACAAACCAAAAATGCTAAATTCTATATATCTCTACCGTTGTGAATGTTTGAGCACGCAATAGTTATGAATTAAAAATTATTATCACCATGAATTCTATAATAATAATGTCCTTAAACTTTTATGATTGTGTTCATTTATTTATTTTATTATTTTATATCAAAATTAGAGTTGCAATATGAATCACTAGATTAAAGGTTTCTTTTGGAATAGTTTTCTTGCTACTTTGCCAATTGAAGTATAATGCTTCGTTTGGAAAAGTTTTTTTGCTATTATAAATCCCACTTAAATCCTGTAAAATCACTGAAATCCCCCATACCTCATATCACACATCATTTCTCATTAATCCTACACAATCTCCTTAACAGAGCCTCCATTCTCATTGTTAAAATGAGATCCACTTTAACAAGCTGTAGTCTCACTAGCCACAGCTCTTCTCTTCGCTCTTCCTCCTATCTCCAAACCACACTAACCAAGCAGCTCCAATTGCCACTCACGACCACAGCCCCCGACAACCTCAACCTACAGGAAGTCAACCTTCCTTCGCCTCTACCTCCACACACCATCCAGATTTCGACCCACACATCTAGTTGAGCTTCACTTATAGCCTTAGACCCATATGACCGAACCCTTTTCATCTCGTCCGACCTAGGAGCCTCGCCGATTTTATCTGACTTCCAATCACATGCCTGAGCCAAACTACACGATGCCTAGACCCCATTTTATTTGCCTCTTCCAATGCTGATCCGGTCCCAATCTACTCATCAAATCGCTCAAGAATCAAACCCCTCTTGCGCCCGATCCAGATCTCTGACTCCTACATCTACCCATCTCCTCCTTAAGGCCGAACAAGACCCAGCCGCAGGCCTTCCCATTTCTATACACATAACCAATCCAAAATCCACAAGAACACATTTAGCCCCATCCGACTCCACCTTACCGAGCTCCGTCTGATTTCTATATCGATTTCCCTCAAAAAAATGGTGGCTTCTTTCTCTCTGTCAATTTACTTTTAATATTAATAATGTTTATCATTATAATTATTATTATTATTATATTAAAAAATTGAATTTCATTATGATTTCATCGTCTTCATACTCTCGACCTCGACACCACCAACGTTGACCCCTGCTCAGGTATAATATTACCTAACCCCAAAAAACTTCAAATTCCTAATTTTGACGTTGGCAAGGCACCGAAAAATCACCTATATTCACTTCTGCTAGTGTGGTGGGAGGGAACCCGGTGCGAGACCTACGTCAAAGTGGGTGCCTCATTTCTTGTGAGGTAAAAAATAAGTACCCGTGAGTGCCTCGTTGGTGGCGAAAGAACTATATTTTTGAAAAAGTACTCCTGAAAACTCGTGCATGCCTTTCTCTAGTGTAACGGGATCAAAAAATATGGCCGAGGTGTCGTCAGATACCGACCATGCCTATCTTTCTCTTACATAGTGGGCTGACAATGACTCTTGGAATTTCTCCTAAACGGAGGAGACGTCTAGAGGTTACTAGATTTTCGAATTAATAGGGGACTTGAACGCATACGAAAGACTTGATTTGAACTTGAACTAAACAAAGGACAACATGGAACCAAACTTAATTCAAGTAATAGGGAATCATACTTTAAATTGCTAAATGCATGATCAAAATGAAAATATCAAAACCAAATGATAACTTTGATCATCCAAATACATTCAAATGAACATCAATATGCAAACAAAACAATAGTTCTCCAACACAACATATTAGAGGAAGTTGTAATGAATGTAGCTTGCTTGCTTGCACCTAATGCCAATTAGCTTGTGGTTTATGTCAATTAGCTTACAAAGAAACTCATTAACCATCTTGCAATTAGTGATGATTTATATGCAATGAATGAGGCAATTCGCTAACTAACATGCATAAAGTTATTGACAGTAAGGGCAGCTTATCGAATAGTTAATATTCATACACAAATTAACACACCGAGTGGCCTACGAAAAATAACCATGGGCATAATGCAAGTGTAATGATTCTCCTACAAGCATATCCGGGAAGACCATGGTGAATGTATCGGCAAGACACAAAACTTGCTTGCAAGCAGCGCTAATGAATTTAGTAATTATGTGATAGCCCTCTTATGGATGATAATAAGCTATGTGCAATCAGTAATGACAAAGCTTCTGAAAATACAAACGAGAAGATTATAGTGAGTACCACATGTTGCCTACTGTCAGAAATGGAAAATTCATGATGAATTTGAGCCCCTACAATTCACTATAGGATGCTCGTCATGCATATAGTAGCTTATTTACAAATAGTAGCTGGAGACCCTTTGTGCACGCCACATACTACTTACAAATAAAATTCAATAAATGCAGGCTCCCATGCGACGCTGCTGTGGAATACACACTAGAGGCCACCTACAAGCAAATATAGAGAGAAATATAGGAAATGTAAATACCTATGAGCCGCTATAGGAAGCCCATCATACACATCACAAGCAAGGCACACAAGAAATATGATAAATACTAAAATCTATGAGTGGTGCTAGAAGATTTGCATTCAATGTAGCTCGTACGTGCATAATAATAGAAGACCTATAATGTATACAACCATCATGTTTGCAGGCAATGATACAAGAAATATGCTACAAATATGATGAGCCCCCTATACATATAGATGCTCATGCGACATGCAATAAACAAGCAAAAATTGCAAAATAAGGGTCATAGCAAATGCAGAAGAATGTTAGAAAATGCAAATACCTATAAGCCACTATAGGAGACTCATTGAACAGCAGGCTATCCATGAAAGAGTATGAAAGAGCTGTAGTAAAGGCAATTATCAACTAGCCACTACAAGAGATTTTTTAGTGCACGGCAATCTACCTACATAAAGTAGTGGATAACTCGAAGTGCGAAGCCATACTACCGGATCCGCATTATGTATACAAACAGACATAAGATAAATTCCCAAGTGGAGCTATGTGTATTTTTCAATAATAACTCATATGCAAGAAGCAACAAATAATCATAGTGCAATGTAGCTTCACGCCAGCGAATCTGCAATATTTGTACATGCAGATAGAAAGCATATATATGCTTCTAAATAGAGAGTTGCGTACATTCAAATGGTCGTCATTCACACAAGTGATGGCATCAAATACTTTAAAATTCCCTCCCACATGCACTACAATAGGTAGAATGTGTCATTCAAACGTGTCATTCAGCATTGTAAAATGATTATGCTGCAATAATGCATCACATAAAACTATAAAATACAGTGTGCACACATGCTCCACTACATACTAATATATCATGTAGGCATGGCTAAGCAATGTGCAAAAATGTAAAATAACGACATACATGTATACATAAAATACACACATGTATATGTTGATATGTTAACATATAGATGCACATATAAGAGCGTAAGTGAGCGCGTAGATATGTCGTATACATTCACTATATCGCATACATAAAATCATATT